AACCTCAGCACGTCAACTGAAATATAAATCAATTCTCGATGAACTTACAGTTATAGCTCCCAGTCTAAGAAAATGAAAATAAATTAATCTGACTCCTAACTGTAAGCATCTATTTCAAAATCACCCATGAAGCATCCGCCGCGATTAATTAGCTTCGGAAATCGGGCCAGCCAATGCGCGGAAAAGAGCTGCGGTCCACTTGAATTTTTAATCCTCGCGACGTTCCAATTTCTCGGCTTCTGAATCCGTCGAGTTCCGAACCCGCTGGGACTTAGATTGCCAGTTAACCTTTCTAGCCCACGCGAAACTCATTCCTCCGGCGTGATACCTAATTTTACGGTCCGACCGTCGCCATTAAAGACTCTTCGCAACAAGGTACAATCATCTATCGCGTCGTCTGTCTTTTACTTTATACTCCCTCTACCGTCTGGAAAATCCTTCGACTTACTGCAAACTAATTGAAAACTGATCGAACATCCTTCTCACGTTAACCCCTTGTCGTGGTGAAGATTTTCAACATGATTCAACAAACATATGTATTCTATTGTTCCTAGAAAACTATTCGTCTATACAAATCGCCAGAATTGTAACTTCAAAACTGTATTGCAACGCGTATTCGCACAATTGCACGAATCAACATCGACGGAAACTGTTGCTAAGTGATGTTGAAAAAATTCAGTATCCGTACATTCTTTAACCCTAAATCTACCGAGCAACCAGAGTGACTTATTTTCAGTTTCTTAGATTTACGAAACTCGTCAATCTGACGGATGTTGAATTTTTTCAACACTACTTTGGGATGGAGATTGATATAGAATTATTAGCGACAAAGTAGTTGTATCGATCATAGTTGAAAGTAGTCTCACTGTTCCACTAATTAATACTCCACCAAATTATTCAAATAATAAATTAGTTATATTCAAGCTTCTGCTGACTCCTCATATATTTCCACATTATTTCCTTACGTTTCCATTTCTCGACTATTCTTCAATAAAAATTAAAAAAAAATACCATAAATGATAAACAAGCACCTGTTAAATCATTTCTCAGTCTTCGAGATACAAAAACTTCCACCGAAACTCCGACATTCGAGCAATTCATCCATTACCAAAAGTGATCAAGCGTCGCGAAGCTTCCCAGGAACACGGTTGCCAGCCATTTGCCGGCAGTTTCCTAAATAATTCTCGCTTTCGAACTCGTTGCGCTGCGCGCGAGCGGTCGCCATTACCGCTGGAAGCAGCTCGTTCAGCCTGATTGGATTCCTTGCGTCAAAAGACAGGCTTCACCTCCCAGGAACCCGTTGCATGATAAAACACCCGCAGTCGGACAACCTCGCAGACCCGACGCACGTGGAGCGTGACGATCATCCCTCGGGATTCCCTCTCGCGCGAAGGCCCGCAATAACGCGTGCAACGTCCGGCCAGGTTTTTATGGTCCACCGTACTCGAGGGTCCGCGTATCGCGTTTCCAGAGGAACGTTTAAGTGCGCCGCAGCTTGCGCGCGCTGAATCCCGAATCAAAAGGTCCGGGATCGACCTTCGTTCCCCAAAGTTCGGGTAGTTAGGCAAATACTGGCCGCCGTTCAACTTCGTGTCCCGAGCTGGGGTATGATGTATATTATGTCAGTGGTTGTCAAGCTTTCGGTGGAAATGGTGTAGTTCTAGAGGTGTAATTATGAGAATATAAAATTGTAGTTATAAAACTGTTGCGGTCCGCTTTGGAATTTGAATTTCTTTTGCAGTTTTTCTTAGCTCTGTATTATTATGTTTGATTTGAAGTGTGTTTGAGGAAATTGAGAGTTTGTAGAGAGCAATGTAAACGATTCTTACTAATAATATTGAGAATGACATAGTAATCTAATCTATTTGAAAAGTATCTTGACAAAGAATAGAAGTGCGAAGTCAACCCTTTGCACCCCGAATTTCTTTTGCATTTTTTCCTCGATGACTCTGTATTATTATATTTGATTTGAAGTTTGAAGGAATAGTCAGTTTATAGGGAGCAGTGTAAATGATTCTTCTTAGTAATAATATTGAAAGTAACGTGATAATATAGTTTATTTGAGGAATATTTTGACAAAGGGTTAACGTGACAATGAAAATAATAAGAAAGATTCTTTAGGAGTCTTCTGCGATTGAAAGTTGACCAAATGATTTCGAGTTCTGCGTTTTCTTTTGTTCATTGAATTTTATAGCGATTTCTATATTGTCTGGTTAATTGGTTTCTTAATTTCCATCCTTCCTTTTGTTTCTGTTTGCACTAATTTATCATCTATTTTGTTCATTTCTATTTTATAATCAGTTATTTGACCAGTTATGGTAGGAGTAGTGATGGTATGGTTAGTGTTATGATGTGTCTGTGAAGAAGAGGGAGATTTCTATGTGTGAGAGGAGAAGGGGGTGAATTTATAAGGGTGCTGGATGAAGGTGAGAGCACAGTCTGTGAGTGTCAATCACTGAGTGAACATCGTTAGACTTATTGAGTATTGTCATAGTTCATATTTCATTAATCTATTGTCTTCGCTGAATCTTGTCATCCTTTAACACCCTCTAACAATGTCACATCAAATTTATTATATCCTAAATCCCATAGAATGAATCAAATTAACTTTCTCAAGTTCTTCTGTAGTAACTCTAAAAGACTATTAAAATCGTAACAATTCACTTCGTTAGTTACTAAATCAATGTCTGTAATAATTTCTCAAAGAAACACCTTCGATGTTTCCTACAATTTCGAAAGATGGCTTCAGGGATTTTACTCATTCAGTAATTTCCTAACTGATAGATCTAACAGCTCCACATCTAACAATCTAACAATTCAATAACAATGCACTTCGCCAGGTACTAAATATCTCCAATAACTTCTCAAAACCCCAACCTATTACCTTCCCAAAAATTTCAAAACAAGGCTTCCCAAATTCTACTCATTCAGTCCCTTGTTAACTCATAGATCCAACAACTCCATTCCTTCCTCTACCCAGTTTGAGCACCACTGCCGCACAGGATCGCTGGCACGATCCAGTGGTCAACTTCGGACAACTACTGGCCAACGCAATAAATATACGATATAATCCCGGGCGATCCGAAATGGAACGTGCTTGTCCCAATCCGCGGTTCTTTAGCTCCCGAAACCTTCCGCCCCGCCCCTCCGCCCCTCCTTCCAGTCCCCACCCCTTTGATCCAGCACAATGTAACCACCACCTGTCATGCCCACCGAATATTTGTTCCGGCGGCCGAGCTACACTCGCACCCGAAACTTCGTTACGTGCCGCGGATGTAGACCGCGGAACTTTGCGAACTGTTACGGCGACAGATGGGGGACCGTGCCCGGGACAAGTATCCGGGAAATATTTCTTCGACGTGTGCACACGCGCGCCCCTGCCTCGAAATAATTCGCTCGGGGGAGAGACTATAAATTGACTTGGATCGAGAGTGTATTGATCTATGGGCGGTCTGGGGGCTAATTTGTCGCCGGACTGCTGGCTCTGGCCGAGTTCTTTGGTGATTCCAGGGTCTCGTAAGTGTGGGGTTGCTGCCGAAGAATTATTAGACTGAGAAACCGTGTGTTTCACGGAGTGTTTCGTCGGTTAACCCTTTGCACTCGAGAGGTGACTCTCAGTCACCACTTGATTTGATTTGTGAAATTATAAAGTATAATATTTAGCTTTGTATGATGCATCAATATATGGAATATTGAAGTAAAGTAACTTTCCTTCGTAATTTATATATGTTTTCTCGTTAATTAGTTACGAAGGACATCGTCTGTATCTCATTAGAGAATATTGAATATTTCTAGTGAAAAAGAGGTTAAGAGGGTTAACCCTTTGCACTCGAGAGGTGCCTTCCAGTCGCCATTTGATTTGACCCATGAAAATGATACAATATTAAACTTTTATATGATGCATCAACACATGGAACATCGAAATAAAATAGTTCTGTTACTTAATTTATGCAAGGTATTTTTTTATGTTAGTGTTGTAAAGCATATCATTGATGTTTTATCAGAAAATAATAAGAAACGACTCGACTCGAAATTTGTTTATTCGAAAACCTGTATGTTACAACATATTGAAATTCCTTGGCAGCGAATGGGTTAATTTTCTATAGGAGTCCAAACTTGTAGTGCATTTTCTAAAGTGTCTCGGGGTTAGTCGAACAGGGTCACGTAGTTTGATCGGTGGTTACGCGTGGAGAAAGTTCAGGAAGGTTTAGAGCCGATGATATCAGTGGTTGATGCGTCAGCATGGATTTATTGGTTGCCTGCGGTTTCTGTGGGGGTTCTGGTAATTTGCATAAAGGAAACTGCTACCTCCAGCTTTGCTCAGTCGTCGTTTGTGCTAGTGATTGTTGACACGTTATTAATGTGTCTGAGGATACTCTTGATAACAGTGTATCGAGTGCTGCTTATTGAGCAGCAATCAGCTTACACATTAGTCTCTGATATTCTATGCGTGTAGCTTCAATCTTGAGCATAACGACAATGCGATCGTAAATTATTTCACATCGTTTGTGTTACGTTGTAACAACATATTTCAAAATGTTATATTTCCCAGCGAAATGCAAACTATATTAACCCCTCGCCCTACGATTTATTGCTTAGCTATCATCGATACTACTCTATCGTTAATAATTTATTGTGAATAGACAATTTTCATGCTTATTCTGTGTCTACGTTTGCTTCAAAGGTTAATGATTAATAACAGAAAAGTAATAACTAAAGAAATAACTAAAATAGCTTTGTTGCTTAATTTACCTGTGAATTGTCGTTAAATTAGTTTCAAACAATGCCCCCTGTACCTCGTCAAAAAATGTTGAATATTTCCAGTGAGAAACTTTCGAGTGCAAAGGGTTAATGACTGATTTTCCCCAACCCTAAATATTCGAATGCCATTAATTTGCTCGAAGCGTACATATAATCAACTTTGAAATTTAAAGTTAAAAAATTATTTTGCACGCTGAACAGTTTGAATAGATAATAACGAATGTTAAATTATGTTACAGGTTCTGAGAAAATCTGGAGGTGGATTAGCTCGTGACAGTATTCTCTCGACAAGGCTCGATTCCTAGGATCAACTTAGGAGACCCCTAGTGCAAGCAGATAAGAGGACACCGAGGTCGGTGCATTTGAAGCAATGGTTGCATCATGTTAAAAGTGAAGAGACACTTCAGTTGCGTGTAGCTGCTCGGTACACGTGTTAGACACGTCGGCCCCGCTTTGAACCTGTTAGTTGTTCCTGGCAGACGGTTCCTATTCCACTTGTCTGCCTGGGGACTTCCTCATACTACTTGAGCAACGAGGAAGGATAGCGTGTTGACTCCCGCATTACAAATATCCCTGGACACTTGCGCCTTATGGAGAACGATATTATTTTCTCCTTGTTAGACTGTCACTTATACGTATCTATTTTGCAAGCTTTATTAAATTATACTGTTTATGCGATATTGTAGACTGTTTTGTGATACTGCGTGTATATGTGTGTGTATTAGTAAGAAATAAAGAATAATTATTTTATACAAATAAAGTCTCTTTATTACTTGATAACCTACTTCAATATTTCAGGCAATTCTAATGGGCTAGAGGAGTTAGAGTTTCATTTTCTTGCAGATTTACAATAATAACGGTTTGTTGTTTATAATGACAATAACATTTTCCTTGGTGGAAACTTAAAGTATCCTGGAAATTCTGGATTTGTATTAGGAGAACATAATGATTAAGGAGGTATTCGAAAACAATAACATTCAGAAAACCGCCAATTTTCAAAAGAATCTCGAAAATCTGACTTTGTATTAGGAGAATATGATGATTGAGGAGGTATTTGAAAACCGTAACATTTTCCGGCCCGCCAATTTTCAAACGAATCTCGAAAATCCGACTTTGTATTAGGAGAATATAATGATTAAGGAGGTATTCGAAACCTGTA